TATATTTTATGGCAAAAAGATAGTAAGTAATTAATAAAAACAAAAGCAGATAGTGTAAGAAAAGCAGTGGGATCTAGTGTTCATTCAGAAACAGCCTCTGAATTTTAAAATCATAGTTCTTTCTGAATATTAAAGGTTTGACAGCAGCAATTTTACTTATTATCCCATGTACAAATCATTATGTTAGCTTTCTAATGGGGCTGGAATATAATTTTAAGTGGTAGTATACTGGTTTAATTCTCTCTTCTGTCAGTTCCATGATAAAAACTCTTTTTCTGTATCTAGATAAGAATTATTTTGAATTACACATGGAAAGTAAATATTGTCCTCTTAAGAGCTAAGCTTAGTTCTTAGAGTATGATAGAAACAGATTAATAATTATGCTAACAGTAAAAATATCAGTATTAGTTTACTAAATTAATACTAATTAATTGTTGACTAAATTAATATTTATTAATTAATATTACTTTAGTTCATAACAATCACTAAATTCCCCAAAGGATTCCTTGGATATCAAATCTGAACTCAATCTAGTTATTTCTTTGGTTTAAGACAAAAATATCAGGTTGATTGAAAATAGGCTCTTTGATCACTTCCCCCTGAGGGGTGAGCAGCCTTGCCAGGCCACAGAGGAGGACATTGCAGCCAGTCCTGATGAGACCTGATAGGCTAGGGTCAGAGGGAAGGGAGGAGGACCTTCCCTATCAGTGGACTTGGAAAGGGGCCTGGGAGGAGATGAGGGAGGGAGGATGGGATTGGGAGGGGAAGAGGGAGGGAGCTAAACTGGGAAACAAAGTGAATAAACTGTAATTCACACAAAAAATAAATGAAAAAAGAGATACTAAAAAAAAAAAATTTAAAAAAAGGGATACTAAAAAGTTACTGTTTAAATTTTTGGATATGGAAAAATTAATATTATCTATCCTCAAGAGTAAGGCAGCATGTGTTATTTCTGAAGGAGATACCATCTGGCAATAAATAGTAAATACTGAAGAGAAAAAAGAAAATAGGTTGGTGGTTAAGATTAACTTCATTCTTCAGTTGACAGTTGTGTCCAGGTTCTGGTTATTACGAATAAAGCTTCTATGAACATGGTTGAGCAAATGTCCTTGTTGTGTACTTGAGCATCTTTTGGATATATGCCTAAGAATGGTATAGCTGGATCTTGAGGAAACACTATTCCTAATTTTCTGAGAAAGCACCAGACTGATTTCTAAAGTAGTTATACAAGTTTATATTCTCACCAGCAATGGAGGAGGGTTCCCCTTTCTCCACATCCTCTCCAGCATGTGTCATACCTTGCTTTTTTTTTTTTTTTTTTTTTTTTTCTTATCTTAGCCATTCTGATGGGTGTAAGGTGAAATCTCAGGGTCATTTTGATTTGCATTTCCCTGATGAGTAAAGATGTTGAACATTTCAAGTGTTTCTCTGCCATTTGATATTCCTCTGTTGAGAATTCTCTGTTTAGGTCTGTACCCCATTTTTTAATTGGATTACTTGGTTTGTTGGTGTTTAACTTCTTGAGTTCTCTATATATTCTGGATATTAACCTCTGTCAGATGTAGGATTGGTGAATATCTTTTCTCAGTCTGTAGGCTGTCGTTTTTTTGTGATGACAGTGCCCTTTGCTTTTCAGTTTCATGAGGTCCCGTTGATTGATTGTTGATCTTAGAACCTGTTCTGTTGGTGTTCTCTGGTACATTTACATAATGGAATACTACTCAGCAATTAAAAACATGGAAGTGATAAAATTAGCAGGTAAATGGATAGAAGTAGAAAAGATCATCCTGAGTGAGATAATCTAGAAACAGAAAGACACATATGGTATATACTCACTTAGAAGTAGATATTAGCCATATGATATAGGACTAAAATCTATAGTCCTAAAGAAGTTAAACAACAAGGAGGGCCCTAGGCAAGAGGCTGAAACCTTATTCAGAAGGGCAAACAGGATAGGCATTGGAAGTAGGAAAAGACAGGGAACAGAATAGGAGCCTTCCACAGGGGGCCCCTGAAAGACTTTACCCCTAAGGATATCGAAGAAGATGCTGAGACTCAGCCAAACTTTGGGCAGAGTGCAGGGAACCTTATAGAAGAAGGGGGAGAGAGAAAGGGCTGGTTGTGACAGGAGTTCCACAAGGAGAGCACCAGAGGAAAAAAAATGGGCCCAGGGGTCTGGTAGAGACCAATACTCCGACCAAGGAGTATGGAGAGGACCTAGACCCAGACTCCTGCTCGGATGAAGCCCATAGGCTGCTCCTTTTCCAAGTGGGTTCTCTAGTAAGGGGGACAGGGGCTGTCTCTGATATGAACTCAGTGGCCAACTCTTTCATTACCTCTCTCTGAAGGGTACAGCCTTGCCAGGCTACAGAGGAAGATGAGGTAACCAGCCCTGGTGAGACCCGATTATCTAGGGTCAGACAGAAGGGGAGGAGGACCTCCCATATCAGTGGACTAAGGGAGGTGCATATAGGAAGAATAGAGAGGGTGGATGGGACTGGGAGGAGATGGTGGGGCTACAGCTGAGATACAAAATGAATAAATTGTAATAAATAATAATAAATAAATTAATTAATTAAAAAGAATAACTTCATCTTTAAAGTATGGACAGATTTTTTCCTTTGCTGTGAGAATTCATTACTGAGAGGCCCTTGTTAATGGACTGACGGATAATATGAACCTATGTAGAGCTGACATTAGCAAAAAGTAGCCCATGGACGGGTGGGGGCATAGTAAGTTGTTGATAGCCCATCCTTCCATGAAGAGGGCTAAAATAAGTAAGTAAGTAAATAAATATGTTAGCTCTGAAAATCATGGTGCCAAATTTACACTTAAATTTATTGATTTCGCAAAAGAGGACGAAGATCTTAGTAGAGTAGAAGAGAATCCAGTAAATCAGCTTTCTCCTGCAATTGTGTTAACAGAACCTAGTTTTCTGCATCCAGTCTTTTCTGATTTTGAATGGTTCTTGCTGTGGGAGGCTCAACCTGTACAGGTTGAAGAAGAAAGTGCCTTTTTTCCCTGCTGCTCTCTCACATGTGGGTCTTCTTTGAAGATCAAATGCAGAATTTCAAAAATGTTATAAGGTGACAAAGTATGGAGGGAATTATAAACAACTGAAGTGAGAATCTGTGAGTTGGTCCTGAAAGAGCTTGTGTCAGAGTGGTGAGATGATTGGCTATAAGAGTGCTACTTTTGCTGTACATCGATACTAATATAATTATTATTGTCAGTTTTCTTTATAAATTAATGAAATAAAAAACTGAAAAAAATTAGTATAATGTGAGATAACTGTCATGTACATCAAATCACTAGACTGGCTTTTCAGGTTATCTGTTTTGGTACTTACCACACATACATATATATTCCTGAATAATTCCATATATATATATATATATATATAGATATAGATATAGATATAGATATAGATATAGATATAGATATAGATATAGATATAGATATAGATATAGATATAGATATAGAT